ATATATACAATTAACACAGTTAATGTGGCGATGGGTCCGGCCCACATGGCTGACAGCCCACTCCCCAAACCAGCAACCAGAAAGTGTCTCCAGGTTGTCCAGTCAAGCTGCTGCTGCTGCTGCTGCTGCTGCTGCTGCTGCTGCCTTTCACCAGAGCCCTCGAGTGGCTGAATTTTCTTGGCACATAATGAAAGTCCTACGCGATGGTGAAAACTTTCGCAAATATGCAAATCGTCCCACTGCCATTTGCACGTACAAATGTTAACGTACATTTTATAGACTTATCACGCGACACACGGCCTGACTTTGGCCTGGCAACTGGGTACTGGCTGTGGGACTCTGGCGAGAGAAGCGAGCGGTCCATAAATCTAAGCGATATGCCGCCCATTTCATCTCATTGGCGGCTGGCTGGCCGCCCACTTGGGTCTTGCAATGTTGCCACTGCCACAAGCTGACTTTGCCTTTGCATTTGCTGTTGCTCCTGCTGCTGTCGTCGACGTCGTCACGAGTGGCAACAATTAATTTTCATACGCAGACGCAGTTGGATGGCAGATCTGGAAGGCTACTGCCAGACAGACAGGAGGCACTGCAGAGGCAGGGGCACACGGAAGACAGACAGGGAGCCACTGAGGCAGGCATGGAGCTCCCAGTGGCTGCGACTGAGACACACTCACTCCGGGAACGGATGCACTTTGGGAAGTCTTTTTTGCCGGGCGACAAACAAATTGCACATCGATGCGACAGAGATGGCGACTTGTGGCATTCTAGGAAAAATAAATTTAAATAAACGCAAAGTCTTTTGGCTTTGTCTTTGGCCTGCAGCAACTTTCTGCCTCCCAAGGAACGCAACGAGCATTGAAAATGCAAATTCGCGCTTAAAATAAAATCAAGTGTGGGCAAATGAAGAGTAGTGGCAGCGGGGGGCGGGAATTCCAACACTCACTTCGGGGGCCACAAGTGTTTTAACAATGTTTGCATCGCACATTACGTGATTTGGCTGCCGCCCCGCCCACACCACCTGCTGCTGCTGCTGCTGCTGTTCATTCTCTGGATAGTACTCATCCTCCTGCTTCTCCTGCTGCTCATCCTCCCACTTGGCTGGTCTTTGCGTGTAGCAACATGTTTAAATTTGAATAAAACGCAATGCGAAAAGGCATTCAAAGAGTCCACCAGAATCAGAGATACTCTGCCAAGTCAGCGATGTGATTTTGGGTAGAGAAAAGGGGAAAATCCTGGAAATTCTGGGTTCAAGAAGATTCCCTCGGGACGATCAAACAGGTGTGAAAATATTTGCAGAAATTTCTGCAGCGAAAACTTCTCTGAAGAAAATATTTATGTGCAATGAGAGCTCTAGCATTAAAAGCTGCTTTGAAAATGAAGCAATTTCTGCACAGAAAACTCACCTAAAGGCAAATTTGAAAGGCACTAGCATTAGCAACTGCTGCAAAAACACAGAAAAGTGTTCAAAATTCGCTTTTAGAATTACAAATTTTAATGCAAAAACAGCGCCAACAAATGTTTAGAAGCGCCGAACAGAAACTCTTCTCCCTCCCGCTTCCTTTCCTTCCCAGAGCCGACACCAAAGTTGTGTTCTCCCCTACCCAAGGCGGGACAGAACACAGAGTCCGTGGTACGTACCAGCGATAAGGACTCCAAAGTGGGTGTTGCTGGCAAGGAGCAGACTGCTGCTGCTGCCACTTCGAACCAAACCCATTGACGCCTTCGCCTTCGCCTTCGCTTTGGCTGCCTTCTACGCCTTCTCCTTATCAGCGCGCCTTTGCCTACGTCGCTCCAACGTCGTCGCCGCTTGTCGTCGCAGCGACACTTTGCTGGGGCGGAGATAACATTCCGAGGGACACAGAGACTCTGGCGACACTTAGCATGTCGGCAGCAGCTTCCTTTGGGTGTCGCGCAGAGTCGATAAATTAACGGCTGCATCTTCATTTTGGGCTTGGGGTTTGGATCCAGGGAGTGCATTAATACCCAGTGAAAGGTTGAGCTTAAGCGAATAACAATGGAACAGGAAAGGAACAGGATCTCCCAGTTCCAGTCCCTTGCCACTTTGCTGAGTCATTAGAATCCGCAGCTGCGACTACACCGGCGGCTCAAATCCAATTACAGTGCAGAATCAACTGGCTGTGGCACACACAGATAGATGGGGCTTTGGCCGGGCTGGGGGAGATCCTAAAACCAGTCCCCCCCAATGGAGGTTTGATCTGCAATTTGGGCTCCATGGCTACGGACCCGCTGGCGAGCATTGTCCACTCCGTGGGCTCTTTTGCTTTATTATAGCCAACGCTTATACAGATTAGAATAAATCAACTTGTCCCCTCCCCGCTCAGCGCCCATTCCGGACTGACTCTCTGCCAGTTGCCTGGGTTGCCTCTGCCTCTCGCGCTCTCTGCCTGGTGCTCTCGTTTCGGTTGTCCAGCGATCAGCCAAACGCTACCGGCAACAACATGGCCTGCCTGTGCCTAGGCCTATGTCCATGCCCCTCCATGTGCTGCAGCTGCAACAGCAACTGTGGGGCCAACCTATTCTCGAGATAGTTGGGCGCGAGTTCCCCCCATTAAGTGCGCTCAAAACCAAAAGGATGTTCTGCGTAGATAAGCAGGCAAATAAGTTGGCTTTTGCAGGCAAAAAAGGGAATTAATAATGCAGAAATGATGGTCTCCGGCGGGAATCGGAAATGCAAACTGCAAAAACAAAGGGGAAGCCAGGCAAAAGCAACATCTAACTGATCAGAAATGGGTTTGGGGCTGACGCGTTGTCTTTAGAGGAAGTTGCATGTGGGAATTGCTCACAGGAAAGGGTTTTACGACCTTTACAGAAGGTTTATCCATAGACATTTGACTGTGTTTAATATTATTTACACTAATTAAGAGTTGATTTGGTAGTCTAAAGTCTGATTTAAAGTCTGCTTCTGCTTGCGTAACTTACTTCAAGGAAATGCCATGTGGAACAGTCCTGCTTCGCTTTCTCCTTCCTTTCTAAAACAAACAAACAATCAATGAAAAATCCAGGCTTATACCAAGCTCAGCTTACATTCTGCGCATTTTCCACTCTCTTCTGTTAATCCAATCACAGTTCCTGCAGTGACTTATACGAACCCATAAACTGCTTTGCTGAAACATAAACTTCAACACTTTGGCAGTGATGTTGCCCCGTTCTCGAAGCGAGGCAAATCTTACAAATTAAACGCATTCAAGTGCAAGATCGAGGAATTTTGATTGGGTCAAACGGAGTCAGAGTCAGAGGCGCGCGGTAGCTGAAAAATGCCATAACAAAATGTGTCAAGTGCCAGACATAAATGCCTAAGTAAGAGCGAGTCCGAGCCAGGGATCGGTCCAACGTCTTCTTGGCCAGCGGGGCCTTGCGGCCTTTTTGCTGTTTGCTTTTGCCATTCGACATGCGGCGGTGCCGGTCGCGTTCTCGTTTGCCGGGTTTTGCCAGGTTTTGCCAGGTTTTGCCAGGTTTTGCCTGTTAGCAATGCCGCGGCAGTGGATCGTCTTCGAAACAATAAATTTTCGGTGCGTCAGTTTTTTGTAGGGGATCGCCAGAGGATCGTTGTGCCCTTCGCCTTTGAGGTTCTGTAAGCTTTTTCCAATTAAAAATGCACAATTGGCCGGCCTGGCTCCTCCGCTTCCACAATCGACTTGGCGACTTGTACTTATTTGTAAGTTGCACGCATGGCTCCAAGTCCAATTCCAAGTCCACGTCCAATTCCAGCTTCAGCTTCGATTCGTTGGCTGTCTGCCTACGCAGCGGAGTGGCCTGGCCTGGCCTCCTTCTTTGTCGACTGTTTTCATTAATTTACATAAAAATATCTTAATTGCGAGATGAGTTTTTTTTTTTGTGCTTATCAATGCCATGTCATGTAGCCGACGCCATCAGCCTGGAGCACTCCACCTCGGCCTCTGCCCCTGTCTCTGCCTGACAAATTTGTGCAGATCGCCATCGCTGTGCCTGCGTTCCACATGGCATCCACAAGACACATGTTTTGCGACACTTGCGGCCATTGCCTGGGCCTGATTCTCCATTGATTCCTTTGTCCCATGCATAATCGCTGATAAAGGCTGCTTTCGGGGCTGCAAAAATGATTTGTTGATAATTAATGCAGTTGGGGGCAACCGAACTCGTTTGCCGCATGCCTCAAAAGAACAGCAGCCAGCACAGCAATTTGTGCAACGTTTTTGTGTCGGTTTTGTTGTTGTTGTTGTTCTTGTTGCTGTTGCAATCAGGCCTTAAAGGCAATCAACGCACAGTAATTCATGCCGCCTGACAGGCCCCAACAACAGCTTCAGCTCCAGCTACAGTCGCATCTCCACAGCTTGAACTCCAGATGCTCCGACCCACAAATAAAGCAAAAGAAAACGGTTTCCTAGTTGTGGCAAGCGTCACGCAGCTAATTGTCAGCCACGAACGGGGTGCGGGGTGTGCAACATGATCGCAATTAATGCGACCAGAGCTAGTCGCCTGCTTAATCACGGTCACTTGATCAATTTGGCACGCAACGCAGGAGCCACAGCCGCAGGAGAGACAGGGAGCGTGACAGAGGGGTGGAGCGGTGTCCAGGAGCTTACCAAAAGGGGGCCACTCGGTAAGAATGCTGCAAACACTGGCACCATTCTAATGCAGATCAGAGAAAGTTGTGGGAATTTCTAATTAAATTTAAAACAAATTTAATGCGCTTTTTCTATCTAATTTCTATCGATTACTAACGATCGGTCATCGAATGAAATGTCAACCGGCAGGGGCATTGTTTTGGTATTTTTATTGCTTGCCAGCCCTGGCATACAAAACCGTTATGTTGCGCTGCGCTACTTTTGTGACGTCACAAGGGCAAATATCGCAATATTTCGTGGGTAAGGTGGGATTTTTAAAATTGATTTGCGATTATTTTAAGGATCAGAATCAGAATGTTATGGCAGGGCATAGACATTCGAATGGGATCTAACTTTCAATCAAAACATATATTTTTCTGTTGTGAATATAAATATTTAAACAAATGAAATTCTTTTCACACAAAGCAATTTGAGAGGCTGAATACCTTGACCAAAACAGACCTTAACAACACTTAAGCCCAGCTCTAGGTTATGCGTTAGGCCACACTGCCACTAGATGAACGAGCTTCCCGGTTTTTTGTTTATACCCAACCTCGCTGCCTGTTTTCTGTTTTACCAAAATGCAAGTAGAATCCGCAAAGTTTGAGCTCAGGCAAATGTGCCTAGATATATGTACGATGGCAGGGACCTGGCTCCAATACATAAAGAGGGGGCGCGAAACAATGAGCCACTTTTCGGGCGGACGGTTGCACATTTTATATTTGGAGAATCGTTTAACCAATATTTCGAATGAGCGTCTCCTTCGAGCGGCGGACAGAGAGATTCGCACAAATTACGATAGACTATCCTATCCGATTGCCGCAATGAAAACCTATCTGGAACAACTGCGCAAGGTACGGGATAGCATCTGTAAGTTTTTGAGCCGCACGCGCATGTTTATGGATGATGAAATCGTTGAGAAGTACGACGTAACCCCGACATTGAGAACGCCGCAAGTTCTGGAGATCCTGGAGTTCCTGAGCTCACGCTACGATGCAGAGTGGGAGGTCAAAGAGATGGTGGTCAGTGAGTAGCAGTGGACCTCGCCGCTTTAGTGCAACTTTTCACTTCTTACCTTGCATTTTTCAGTGTCGTTGGAGGACGTTGACAGCGCCTACGAAATTGAAGTTCTCGTGAAGGCCTGGGGCGACTGTCGCCATGCAAACGGCGAGGAGTTTGTTCAAAAATTGTCGGCATTCCTCAGTGCATTGTGGAACGGTATTCTTCCTGACCAAAAACCAATTCAGTGGATATTTTAACCCAAGTTTCTGAAACTGAAAAACTGAAACTACAGCCAAACTGAGAGATAAACTCTAATGAATAACGAGTTAAAAGTCATTTATTATTAAGCTAAAAGAACCACAAACTCAATCGCTATATAAGATATGAGATATGAGATGTTGGAAATATATGAATGTGGAGGCATTCAAACTCAGGGATTGCTATGCACCAGCCAGATGTTGGGAGCATGTTTAGATGTAATATTACACAATAAATTGAAGTGCATAAAGCATGCATCTCACACAACCCAAGCGACTGGCGACTACCTAATTTTGTATCTAAAAAAACAGACCAGAAGGCAACATTTCCAGAACGTTCCTGACGTTTCGAAGACTGCAAGCGGCGCGGGACTAGCCATCGAATGATCAAAATTCTTTCCACCCACTGGAACATCCCAGCTTCACCTTGTTGCTGAAACACGGAGCACCTCCACCATCTAATTATGTGGACAAGAAACGATTTTGTTTTGTTTGAATTTGATGTTAGTTTTTATTTTGAAAAATGTTCTTGTTTTTAGTTTTCTTTTTTTTTTTTGTATTTTTTTGTTTGGTATCATTGCCTGTAAAAGGAATTACAAACAATCAGTTGTTCTCTTTCGTCATCTTAAAAATCTTGACCCACTTTTTGACCTTTTTGCTATGCATATGTACTCACATATGTACTATGTATGTATACATTATGTATCTGCGGTTTGGTATTTACTCTGGATTTGGTGGCAAAACAAAACTTAATTGTAATTGCACTACAACAACATTTTGTTTTCTGCCCATTACATATATATATATAAAGTGTACTTGTATGTATATATAGATGTATGTATATAATATGCAATTCTGTAGCTAGATTTTTTCATTCCGATCCTAATGTATGTAGGTGTTGTGTGTGTGTGTACATAGTGTGTGTGTGTGTGTGTGTGTGTGGTTGTGTGTGGCGCCCGTTATTCTATCTTATTTGTTTTAGAAACAATTGCATCTTCGGGGTTGTTTTTGGTTTCATATATCATTCCAGCAAAAACCACCTTGACCGACCATCTTTTAGGCGCTCCAACTAAGTTCACTTAATAATTGAATACTTTTAGGCTAGTAAATGGTTTTCATCTCCTGTCCCCTTCCAACGCATAATGCACTTAGTATTTGTTCGAATCATCCTCCGCCATGCTCCCGATTTATTCTTTAGTTCTCAAGCCCTTAACTAACTTTACAATGAACATTTCGTGTATATAACTTTTTTGTTTCTGTTTTTTTGTTTTATTTGTTTTTGGTTGTTGTCTGCTAGTCCTAAATCGCGCGGACATTAATTGCTTTTTACTCATGTAGTTTTGGTTTTTGTTTTTTGTCGTTTTAGGGCTAATATCTTTTAATTTTAGAAAATGTTCAACTCGTAAATTGAGTTTGCTTATTAAAAAATCTGTTCCCACCATGTTTTTTTTTTGGTTTTTAATCATTTATATGTATATATATTTTATTCAAGTGTTTTTTCATTTTTCTTTTTCTTTGCTATGAATGCTTGTTGTCAATTGTTGCGGGTTTCTTCTCTTTCCATCCTTGAATATATTTATATTCTATATATGTTTTATCTCTATTTTGTTTTGTTTTTTTGGTTGTGCTTTACACCTTATTATTGCTATTAATTATTTGCTCTTTATTGGCGCCCCCGGCGTATGCCAAGCCGGGGAAATGAACGAGATTTTGTTTTGGTTTTTCTTGTTTTTTTTTTTTGGCGGCAACTCAACTGAAACCTTAGCTAGGAAAAAACTCTTCAAGCGCAATCATATCAATCAATGATTGCTTAAGCGTTTTCATATATACAGCAGCGTGTGATTCATTTCGGGAATGGGATTGGAAATGGATCTAATTTGTGGGGACAGCGCAGGAAAATCAGAAATTAAAAACTCTTTCTTTTTGCAAATATTTTGTTTTTTTGTTTATTACACAAAAAAATAGAATAGAATACTAAATGAAAAACCAAACTACTTAAAAGATATGCATGTGTGTGTGTGTTTTATTTTGGGATTTTTGGGTTGTAGGGGGGTGGGGTCTGTGGGTATGTGTGATAATTACTAGAAAACCGTCTTTGTAATCGTACTCGTTCTCGTTTATACAATTTATGCTAATTAAAATACACAGGTAAAAATATAATTTCATTGTTTAATAATTGTTTTTGTTTTGTTTTGTTTTGTTTTTCTCATTACTTTTAATCCTAAGCCTAGCGAAAATCGTTTCAACGTGCAAAATCAATTTTGTGGTGTGTTGTTGTTGTTGGTGAGTGTTGGTGTTGTTGTAGAAAGCTATCCTTTTTGTTTACAGGCATTATATATTAATTTGTACACATTTTCGTTTAAGTATTTTTCATTATTTGACAATTGGCTATGTGAGTGGGGGTGGTGGGCTAGGGGGTATGCATGGGGGGAGGAAGTACAAAAATCGCCCTAGGGGATTACACGAATATAGTACAAAAAAATACAAAGAATACAAGACGAAAACAGAATACACAAAATTAATTTCTTTACAATAAACTGATCCTAACGCTCATCCTTGCTAACTCTACTCATACGATCTCTCGTTTTCTCTCTCTTTCTCTCTCTTCCGATCTGCGCTTGGCGTCCAGATATATATAGTTTATATATATAATATATAGTGTTTTATATATATGTATGCGAATTGTACAGTATACCGTTTATATATGTTTCTGGTTTTCTTTTTGGGGCTGGGGGGTTTTTGTTTTGGATGTTTCTTTCTTTTTGTTTGTTGTATAATTTAAATTTAAACTAATGCTCACTTTGCACAAAAATTTACACAATTTATTAATTTAGTTTAATTTAATTTAATTAGACTTAAACGACTGCTCGCACTCTCCACCATCAGCTATCCAATTTGTTGTAAACTAATCCTAATATTTGTATAATTACACTTTTTTCTTTACGTTTTGTTTACTTTGTTGCTGCTTTCGGGTTCCAATCGGTTTTGTTGTAAATATGTACAAACTTTTTACTTAATGCTAGACATGCTCGCTCCTCCTCACTACTCGCTACTCGCTCCTCCTCGATCCTCTCTCTTGTCCTTTTTTTTGCGTATTGTATATGCTCTATGTGTTTGTATGTATAATATATGCCTACGTGTGTGTGTTGTTGTTGTGGTTGTTGTTTGCTCCTCTGAATCTGCCTCTGCCTCTGCCTTCTCCACGTCTGTTCCTTCTTGTATATTTATAAACATTAAACACTAGTCGAACGCCCAGGCCTATGTATATGTATAAAAATAATATAGGTGTTAAAAAAAACAAACAATCATTGCAAATCGACAGACGACAGACACTCCTTCTACACTTTAAACTTTACACTTGACAAATTCTCAAATAGTTTTGTTAATAAATAGTAATGCTGTTGCTGTTCAAGACTGTTATGGGTAAACCAAACTCTACCTCTCTCTCGCTACTCTCCTTTCCTATACTCTGCTGCTGCTTTATGTCTCTCTCTCTCTGTTATCTCTTTCTGTGTGTGTTTACAAGGCTCTCCGGTTAAGTAAGGCTAAGTAATCTGTGCGTTGCTGTTGCTTGGGTTTGCTTCAACATTTTTTGTTTCACATCTTCTAATTTTCATCTAAGGCTAATGGTTGATGCGGCTGTTCCGCTGCTTTCTTGGTGTTTGATTTCTGTTAACTTTCATTCTTTGTTAATTGCTTAATTGTTGTTTGCTTTTTCTTAGTTGTGGTTTGTTGGAGTTGGAGTTTTTGTTGTTGGAGTTGTTGTGGATTATACGGAGTATGTATAGCTAGTGGAAGTATAGCAAAACGGAAGCATGCGACTGCGTTTGATTGAAGATTTGAAGTGAATTTGATGTCTTTTGGGGTGTCTTTCCCTTCTTAGGCTATGGCTGCCGTCAGATAGTACAGATCCATTAGTGTCTGCACATTGATGGGCAGACAGGAGAGGCGATCGTGTGTGTTGGAATCGAGGGCCAGCCAGGAGAGGGCATTGTAACCCTCCAGTACAAAGCGTAGCACATCCGCCGTCAGACTCGAGTCCAGCGGATGATCATTCGCCGACTGATGGGCATTCGTTGAGTTGAGAATATCATCGGCTATCTGTATGTTCGGCACATGCAGATGGAGTGCAGTTTTCAGGAAGACGGGGCACACCTCCTCCAAGTGCGGACAGGCGGACCAAAACCAGGCGGGCATGCGGCCCGTTGGCGCCGTTGAGACCATATAGCCCACGGATATGGGCTGCTGATTGAGGGAACCCACCTGTAAAGGGATTAAAGAGGGTATTTTAGAGATTGTTCTGGTGATAGGGAATGGCTTATGGCTTACCTCTTCCACTTCCTGTGGCGGAGTGCATTTGAAATTGTTGCCACCAGCGCTCTGCCAGCTGCGATTGTCCTCCATGCGCCCGGGACTGCCATGATTCGACACTCGATCCATGTGTGCTGCAAAGAGGGAATAAATGGCCATTAGTAGAGCAGCTGATAGGCAGTGAGTCACGCTTTGACTTACTGTCTCCCCAGAAGAGTTCCCCAATGTCTGCATCGCTAAAGTCTTCATTTCCCTCCTCTTCAAAGGTGAGAAAATCATCATCCACCTGTGGCTCGTTCTGGAACTGGCGGGTAAAGGGCTGCACAGGGGAAATATAACAAATATTAGCAACAAATATCAAAGTTAAACTCAAATTGAATCACTTACCGCACAGACAGCACTCGTGGGAAAGACCAGAATGTGCGTACAAGTCACATCCTGTGGCGTGGAGAGTGGATTCTGCATGGAGATCTGCGAGAAGCGTTCATCGGGCGTAAACTGATCGGGCATAACGCGCAGCTTCGCATCCGGTTCGAGTGTGACCAAACACGCGCTCAGTATGGTGGGCGGATACATCAGGGTGCACTGCTTGCACATGTCTTTGAACTGCTTGGATGCCTTCTGCAGCTGCTGCTTGCTCAGCAAATAGCTCCACGACTTGAGCTCGCTGTGTCCGATGCGTCCAATGCGCCCAATGACCAGCCGCCACATCTGCGACGTCTGCGAGATGATGCCCATGACAAAGTCCATCAGCTTCTTGAGCGCCACAAAGCGTGCGGGCGCCTTGCGACGTCGTGCACGATTCGGCACATCGATATTGATGCACACCTTCTCGAGCAGCTCGCCGCGTTCGTCCGTGACGGTGGCCAGCAGCCAGGCTTGGTCTTCGCTCAGGCAATAGTTGCAGTACATCACGGAGTAACGATGCTCGTTCTGGCCATGCATGCTGCCCGCTGAGCGCGAGAAGTCCGTCTTGTCCGTGCGCTCGTACATGGGCGCCAGCACAAAGGGCGCTGTGTACATTTTGTAGGCTCTTCGGTTGGGTTCGTCCTTGGTCTTGAGGAACGCCTCCATGTTGGCGGCTGTGCCAAAGCCCGTCAGGCTCTTCACCGACTGCGCGTGCACCAAATGCCGACGACACTGTGAGAAGATGTTCAGCGCCAGGCACTTGATCTCGTCCGAGAAGCGTTTGCGATTGCCGCACGGCCCCAGCTCCATTACTGCCTCCAGGGATATGATTTGGATGTT